GATTTGCCGATCTGATTTGCCGATCTGATTTGCCGATCTGATTTGCCGATCTGATTTGCCTCAATCACTGTTCAGCCAAGAACCCTCAGATTGGCTCCTTGAACAAATGTCAATTGCAAAATGTACTTTTGTTGAACAGAGGGGTCCCAAAGGGGCCACACACTGGCCGAATCCTGCTGACTTGGCCTTAATTTCAGTGTATGGCCAGCTTTAGAGAACCTCAGATGAGATGGCAGTAAAAATCTGACAAAAGTTCCATCCCTTCCCCACTTTATCCAAATTTAAAAAAATGCTTTGGCTGGACTTACACTTTAATGAAAAGCTATGTTGGTGAGATGGATTAATAAAGAGTAACAGAAGAGTTGAAAGACTAGAAAAGATGCTGTTTTAGGTTCCCCTAAGGAAGGGGCTGTGACCATAACCAAAAGCCTAGGCATTCAGTCCTGTGATTTCTGATGAATGCATGGATCAAATCACCACGTACAGCAGCAATCATGAGACCAAATGCCTAGGCTTTTGGCTATGTGAGCAGCACTGGAGGGATTCCAGAGCAGCATTTTCTGCAGGAAAGCTCAGTTTTTATATTTTTCTTTGTTCATCATTCTCAAGATAACGTTTCAAATGTATCTGTAGCCAAAAGATTTATCTTTAGGTTTGGGTACAATAGGGAAGTCTGATCAACTCTGTCAGGTTGTTTTGGGCCTGTGTCCCTCTTTATTTGTACTAATGACTATTGTTATTGGGACTGAGAGTAAGGGAAAATCCAAAATTCTGCGTTGTTGCAGGAAGTGAAATAAAGGGGAAATCTTCCAAAAGTAACACTTGTTGCAGTGACAGCTGTATAAGAAAATATTTTGCTCACTTTGAAGAGATTTTCTCTTACTTCCTGATGTGTCTAATGGACAGGAAGTGAAGGATAACCTTCCCAAAGAAACACAAATGGCAAAAAATCTAAAGCTAGCTATAAACTGTTATATTTTTTCATGCAACCTCTGGGCTGGACAAAAAAATATAACAGATTCCTCCATCCATACTAAACAGTGTGGATGGACGAATCTCCCGCTGTGTGCTTTGTATGCCCGCCACTGTCAGAATACCCAGTGACGGGCAGCTGATTAGCTGCACCAGAAAATTTTTCAACCGGCTCCTTTGATTTTTTGATTAGGTGCCGACAGGGCCACCCACTGAACTAATTTCATCCGGCTCATCAATAATCTGCCAAAATACGTACAGTGTATGGCCAGCTTAATAGGGGTTTCACTAAAAAAAAAAAAACGTTCTGACTTTAGATATAATGTACTTTAACAGCATTTCAGCAAGTGCTGAAGTGGAGGTCTACTTTAGGCGTTTAATCTGAAACATGCTAAAGATACAGACCTTTTTTTTAACATTGGAACATCAGACAAGAACACCATGAGATGTTAGTAGGTGGTCAGAGATTTCAAACTGATGACATTTAGGACATATATATTACATGTCAAGTGCTACATGTCCCAAAACAAACAAGAGTTATAGTTATGCACTTAGGAAGTGCAGCTGTGAATACACCAGAACAGACTGGTGCTGTAAGGAAGACGATTAATTCATCTCAAGGCTTCCTAAATCATGCTGATAGATCAGACCTCTCAGCACGGTCTTCTAAATAGAAAGATTGTGGAAACCAGAGCGATGCAAAGGTAACCTCTGTTGCCTTTCTGGTCACCATGAAGTCATCACACGCATAGTGAAAGCATGCTGGGATAAATTCCTTTAAAAAAATGATAAATATAGCGCACACTGGAAAAGCACAGCCATCTTTTACATTCACATTCCATACCTGAAGGTTTCATACGTCATCTCATTTCTGTTTCCAGGCTCATAAGCTACAAAGAGTTTCTTGATTTCTCTAGGCTTAGACTCACCAATATTCCTTAACTTAGTTAAAATGGAAGCAATGTCGGACATAGGGAACTAGAACAAAAGAAAATTTTGAGTTTAATAGTTTATAGTGTTATGTTTAGGGGATATTACAGTCTTTTACAGACAATATAAAGCTTTTTAAGTGAACCTTGACAGAGCGGCTAATTTTAATGCCCAACTTTCCCCGTGCATTTAGTCACCTTTACTTTACTCCCCCGTGCCACTTCATTCGGCACCAGAAGTGAAAATAAATATCTGGTATTTTTGGGTATTGGAATCATGTGATTTACTAGTTTCTTTACATGTGACAGTGCTGGATGATTAGCTCAGTACTGTCATATGAAGGTGGAGAGAGAGTCCCCAGCACTGTGTGAACTTTGCCTGGGATCCAACTGCAGAGTACTCAGGGCTTCTCCTTGCAGTGAATAGGACTGATTTATTGGGTGTTTCCAAAGCAGGAGTGGGCTTTAAGGGCACATTCATATTTTATGCACGTGTTAATGTGTTGACTCACTTTTAAGTACAAAAGCCTATTCATTTAAATAGACCCTTAATGAACCTCAACTCTCCACATGAAAAAATGTATCTCCACTTTTTTTGTCCAAGGCAGCACCCCACAGTGCATCCACAGCTGTGTGTTGTGGTGTGATAAAGGGTAGGTACACTTTTTAAACTATATATGTGCATCAGGATAGCATTAAGAATGAATAGCAGCATACAGCAATACATAGACACTGTGCATTGTGGTGTGCGAGCAATAACATGTATCATAATGCCTGTTAACGCACACATAAACACGTGCACATAAATGTAAATGCAACCTTTATCTGTCACAGGAGGATAAGGATCTTTTTTGAAATATAATGACACTCCAATGTGACAGTCCAGTCCAATTAGACTGGAAAATGAAAGTCAAGTGGCTAAAATGAAGATCCTTATTCTTGTGTCAAAACATTAAGTACATTAAAGTACATTAAAGTACATTAAACACTTTTTAATTCTTATGCAGGTTTAAAGTCTGCTGAGATTTGCTTTGCTTACAGCTAAAAATCATAAATACTAGCACTGTCTCCTTGTGTAGCCAGTATGGACGTGGTAACAATAAACACAACAACAGTCTAGTACCAAAAATAACTTCAGTAGTGAAAAAACAAAATGCACTAAAAAAAATAAAATAAACCAATAAAATACAACAATGGGTAACAGATTTGTTGAAAAAAATAACCTCTACAGGCAGGCGAAGCTACAGTGTATAGCAATTGCAAAGATTTTAGGAAAAAACATTTTACTGTTCTGAAGATACTGAAATATCTGGGAGAATATTTCTACAATATGATGATAGGAGGATGCTCCTGTTATTAAATAATGTAATATTTAAACTCCCCCTGCCCGCAGACCGCCATAACCACTGGACCAGGGTTGTGGGGAGAGGGGCCTTTGTCCCCATTGGCATGGGGACAAGGCACTTTTCCAGGGGGCCCCACCCTGGAAAAGCACCCTCCCAATGCTGAGAGCATGTGGCCTTTTTGGCGCAGTGAGTGGGGGGGGGCGCTCCCTAGTCCCCCTCCTTTCCTGTCCAGCAGACCAGTGCCCGAAATAAGGGTCCGGTATGGAATTTTGGGGGGGACCCTAAGTTTTTGTGTGTTAGGGTTCCCCCTTAAAATTCCTACCAAACCTAAAGGGTCTTTTATGACTTTTGTGGGAACCACACACATTTTTTTTTAACTCGGGGGTCCTTCTTAACATTCCTAGCAGACCTATAGTCTGGATTGAGAGGGGAACCAAGTTTTTTTTTTCTTCTTCATTTTACACTGATAGTTTCATTCTGTTTGCTACCTCTGAGAAGTGAATAATCTAGGCCAAAATAGCTGATTTAGAAAAATTCTCCAATTCAGCTCACTTTCCAGTTCAGCTATGTTGTCTTAGATTGTTCACTTCTCCTGCCTTCTGCAAACTCTTCAGCCTTTAGTAAATAGACCTGTTAGTGTTAAAGGAGAACTATGGGGTTAAGTCTTTTCCCCATAGTTCTCCTTAGGGTAACGGGAGGACACAAACTAGCATCCTCCCGTCACCCTAGGCTTATTATACCGCGAGCTGTAGCTCGTAGTATACTGAGATGCCGCAGTATACCGTGAGCAGCTGCTCGTGGTATACTGAGACGCCGCAGCTGAAGCAGATCCCGACAATTGTGCCAGCTGCGTGACTGACAGAGCTAGCTGCGTGGCAACAGAGCCAGCTGCGTGACTGACAGCTGGCTCTGCCTATCGAAAGGCAGAGCCAGCTGTACCGCCCCGTCCGTTCCGCCAGTCAGCGCTGGTGGATCGGAGCGAGTAGGGGGAATCCAGCCCCTCCCCTGTCACGGCAGAGAGACGTGACAGGATCGAGAGGTGACCGAACCCGGTATGTGTTCGCTCACCTCCCGATCTACTGAGCCGACCTGTGACAGTCTCATTGTCACAGGTCAGCTAGAACTATGAGGTGAGTGAAAAGCACTCACCTCATAGTTCTCCTTTAAATGGTGTATGTATTTCTTGTAAAATAAAACTGTAATTATTTATTGTTGTGTGTTAGGTAAAAATCAGTATGAAGTAATGTATCACCAGCATACCAAATGGAAAATGTCCAAAAATGATCAATTTATTCTTGTGAATACATACTGTCAAACAACAACGTTTCAGAGCCACTCAGGGTCCCTTCATCAGTATGATGAAGGTGAAAGTCAGATTCTAGGGACCCTTTATGCAACTATCAAGAAAATTACTAAGGTCTAAGGTCTCACAAACTTCATAAATGTTGTTCTGTATACTGACTTAAATATGCACACAGAAGCCCTGAAGTCCAATATATCCTTGACATCATATAGGGTCCACTACCAAACAAACACTAATGCCCACGGTAACTAGTTCCATGCCCAGCCTAGCAAACAAATGTTCTCAATGTGCCTATGTTCAGTGTTTATAATTTCCATGAAAGAGTGAATAAGCAACTGTGAGAAGAAGTACAGTGACCCCTTGTTAATTTGGTCATGTTAGCTAAAAATCCAATATAAAAAAGGGTAACTAAAGGCTTTTTAAGGCATAAAAAGTCACCTTTTTGTAATGTTTCCCTTCTTATTCTAATGCAATAATTGTTTAATAAATATTTTGCATCAAATTACTTTAACAGGTACGTAAGCAACCTTACATGGATGAATTCCGTACATTTGAAGGGTTAAAACCAGAGCTCATGTAAATGTTATACTTCTAGTAACATATACCCTACTAATAGATTTCCAAGGCCACCATAACAATTTATCTGCACAGAATAAATTCTGGCTATGAATTAACACTTGATTCAGCCGCAGCAGTTATTGCACCAGTAAATTATCTTGCTCATTCCTTATATTAGCTCTCCCCCTAGTGGTAGAAATAAACATGCATTTCAAGTCATCACAACACTTTTAATTCATCTTAAAATTCTTTTTTTCTGGCACACGATTTATTTGCTTAAATATATTTATATAAATATACAGAGACATTTGAAGTGAATTTAATAGAAGGGTCCTTACAAAGCAAACACAAAAAAAAGTTCATGAGAAAAAGCACTGTAGTTTTAGAACATATATTTCCAATGAAATAAATTGTATTATAAAGTAATAGTATGATCATTTGTTACACAAGTGTTGTGAAGGATAAATATCATGAACCCACTAAAAATGTATAATAAAGAGTTCTCTTCTAAGGACTATGAGGCTTTAAGGCTCTCTTTAAGCGGGGTTAATTTATAAATATATGCCGGGCTGTTGCCATTTGCACAGCACTAGCTCCCCTAGATCAGTGGTCCCCAACCCCCGGTCCGCGGACCGCTACCGGTCCGCGGATCAAATGGTACCGGGCCGCACAGTCTCAGTGCGGTCCGGTCCTGCAATATGGGGCAGTGCAGGGTCCCGGTGTTCGAACACCGGGGCCCCGCAATGCCGACGGGCTTCACAGTGAGGGG